AGAACTTTGTACAATATCTGTAAGCATAATTTAAGGAGAAGCCATTGCTTTGTGAATGCTGTCATGCTTAGATATTGTAAGGGACTGTAGAGAGTCCTGTGGGTTCCAACTTTTCCTCACTCCTCTTTCCTGTGGCAAGTTCTTCTTCCTGGTTGCTGACCCTGTTGGCAAACAAAGGCCTGGGGCTTGCTGTACACTTTCAAAGGCAGTTGCTTCCCGTAGACATTCCTAGAGGCTCAGTTTCCATAGACATTCCTACTATCCTTTTCTTCTCCATTTTGTTGTGGCAATGGACAAAGTGGCTTCTCAGATTAACTGATCAGAGACTCTTTCTCTGATTCTCCAGTTTCTCTCCTTAACTTTCATTCCCAGCTCCTTCTACATCTATGCAAGATATATTAATTCCTATAATGAATCCTGTACTGATAATAGTTCTTCTCTCACGGAACCTTGACTAATTCAAATATGGAAAGTGCTTGCACCTTTTTCAGTATATATATATATATATTTTACTTATAGTACTTGGGATTGAATCCAGGGATGCTTTATTACTGAGCTACATCCCAACTTTTTATTTTTTTAGACATGGTCTTGCTAAGTTGCTGAAGGTGACCTTGCATTTGTGATCCTCTTGCCTCAGTCTACCAAGTTGCTGAGATTAAAGACCATGCCCAGCTCAACCTTGTGCTTCCTACATTGAGTTGTTCAACCATTATTTGGATTCTTTTTATGAAACAAAATACTCTCCCCACCACCAAGCTAATCATTTAGGGTTTCAGGTGTTGTTGTTGTTGTTGTTTGTCTATAAGAATTTGGATAGGATGCTTTGGTTGTATTAATAGAGACAAACCTCTTTTTAGTTTATGTGAAAGGAGAATTTATTACAAAATTACAAAGGTACCTTAACAAAGCCAAAAACAATAGTTAATTCTAGGCCTCAGGTTGTTATTATTATCATATATTTTTTGGTACTGGGGATTGAACTCAGGAATGCTTAACCACTGCGCCATATTCCCAACTCTTTTTTTATGTTCCGTTTAGAGACAGGGTCTTGCTGAGTTGCTGAGGCTGGCTTTGAACTCATAATCCTCCTGGCTCATCCTCCCAAACTGCTGGAATTACAGACATGAACCATCACGCCCAGCTATCAGATATTATTTGTAATCAAAAGAATTGTAACTAATGCCCTATTGCAATGTTAATTATAAGTTTGCTTCTTTCAGTTCTGTGTGTCTATAAGCAGAAACAGACTTCCTATGTTCCAAAGTATTCGTTCGAGGATGTTTACATGGCAAATAACCTGGGAAGACAGTGATTATGGCTCCTGCTGATGCAAAAAGGAATGCACAACTTTACTGTCCATTTAGAAAACATTTGGTTCCCTGAATTTTTTCCTATAATAATGCCATCCACTGTGTAGGCATTATCTGTTCCTCTTCACCTTATCTTATAGGAACTGAGGCTCAGGAAACAATGTCAAAATGATTATATTCTGGCTACTTCTATTGTTATGAATAATAACCTGTCCTTTGTGTTTGATTCAAGAGACATGAAACTGTTGCAGGCTAATTTATCAGATTGTATTGAAGGTGAAATCTCAGATCCTTCACAGTTCTTAAAAATAAGATCATTTTTGACTGGTGTAATTTATACTGGTACAAGTATTGTTCTATGGGCTTTTCAAAGAGAAAAATGTATATGCCTCTGATATGGATTACTTTTTTTTTTTTAATTGTAGATGGAGCAAATCAAAACCACCCTAAGATACCATCTCACTCCAGTAAGATTGGCAGCCATCATGAAGTCCAACAACAACAAGTGCTGGAGAGGATGCGGGGAAAAGGGTACACTTGTTCATTGTTGGTGGGACTGCAAATTGGTGCAGCCAATTTGGAAAGCAGTATGGAGATTTCTTGGAAAGCTGGGAATGGAACCATCATTTGACCCAGCTATTCCCCTTCTAGGTCTATTTCTTAAAGACCTAATAAGAGCATGCTACAGGGACACAGCTACATTGATGTTCATAGCAGCACAATTCACGATAGCAAGATTGTGGAACCAACCTAGATGCCCTTCAATAGATGAATGGATTTAAAAAATGTGGCATTTATACACAATGGAGTATTACTCTGCATTAAAAAATGACAAAATCATAGAATTTGGAAGGAAATGGATGGCATTAGAGCAGATTATGCTAAGTGAAGCTAGCCAATCTTTAAAAAACAAATGCCAAATGACTCCTTTGATATAAGGGGAGTAACCAAGGACAGGGTAGGGACGAAGAGCTTGAGAAGAAGATTAACATTAAACAGGGATGAGATGTGGGAGGGAAAGGGAGTGAGAAGGGAAATTGCATGGAAATGGAAGGTGATCCTCAGGGTTATACAAAATTACATATAAGAGGAAAGGAGGGGTAAAACAAGATAATACAAGTGGAAGAAATGATTTACAGTAGAGGGGGCAGAGAGAGAAAAGGGGAGGGGAGGGGAGGGGAGGGGAGGGGAGGGGGGATAGTAGAGAATAGGATAGACAGCAGAATACATCAGTCACTAGAAAGGCAATATGTAAATCAATGGAAGGGTAACTGATGTGATACAGCAATCTGTATACAGGGTAAAATTGGGAGTTCATAACCCACTTGAATCAAACTGTGAAATATCATATATTAGGATATTAAGAACTATGTAATGTTTTGAAGGACCAACAATTAAAAAAATGAATAAATTGAAAAACCAAAAATAAAGTACATATATTTAAAAAAAATAAAAAATAAAAAATAAAAATAAAGGTCCATTAACAAAAAAAAATTGTAGATGGACACAATATCTTTATTTTTATCTGGTACTGAGGATTGAACCCAGTGTATCACACTTGCAAGGCAAGCACTCTATCACTGAACTATAGTCCCATCCCATGGGTGACTTTTCTGCAAACAAATAAATATGTTAGGTTTTTAAGAAATTACTGGGCCTGGGGTGGTGGCTCAGTGGTAGAGCACTCACCTAGCATGCATGAGGCACTGGGTTCGATCCTTGGCACCACATAAAAACAAACTAATGTATCCACATAAAATTAAAGATACATAAATAAATAAATATTAAAAAAGAAATGACTATATCACTATAGTATAACAATTACTTTTATATGTGTGTGTGTGTGTGTGTGTGTGTGTGTGTGTGTGTATGTATCTGTATTTCCCATTTGTAATATAGACAAGAATTTGGATAGGATGCTTTGGTTGTATTAATAGAGACAAACCTCTTTTTAGTTTATGTGAAAAGGAGAATTTATAACAAAATTATGAGGGTACCTTAACAAAGCCAAAAACAATAGTTAATTCTAGGCCTCAGGGATAATGGCCAGTAATAGAAACCAAATCTTGCTAGCAAAGAGGAGTTTACAATTAGAACATAAAGACCCTTTACCAAGCCAAGGGCAAAGATTACAACCATGCTTCATGAAGGGTTAGGACAAGGGAATGGAACACTGCTAGAAAGGCAGGAATCATACTCTTTTGATCTCTCATCTCTGCTTTTCAATTTGCAAATGCTTTTTTGTTCTCTCACTACAGATCTGCTACTTTCCCTGCCTAAGCTACATGGTAGAATATGGCAATCCACATCTCCCCAGTTTATATTTCCTCTATTCCAGAGACTAGTCAGACCAAGGCTAGAATCTCTTATCTCGAACCCTGAATTTCTGGAGAAGTTGTAGGACCTTGCCAAATTTAAAGATAACATCCTTCTCAGGGATGGGCAGTAAGTCAGAAATTTCAGGAAAACAGGAATAGAAGCCAACTGAATTTTTTATTTTTGTTGCTCCTTAAAGACCTAGAGATGAAATAGTTTACTTTTACATTTAAGGGTGGATAGGAGATAGATGCTCAGAAACCACAGCATACTGTGTGGAAATGACCAGATACTTCAAAAGATAAGGGCATTCTAACTCTTTTTAATATTTCCTGGGTCAGAGATGACAGACTTGGATAATGGTATCTTATTTGAGACAAGTTTCTTCTCATCTGTCGTGATAGGTAGGGTTTATCTCTGGGAAAATTATGAACAGGTCTTGATATAAATTATTTAAACACAAATGGTAATATTATTCTTTGTTAATCAGATTTTCCAAGAGAAATTTTAAAAGGTGTTAATCATATGGTGAGTGTTTAGGAAAAATGGAAAAAGAAAAGAATACATTGGCAGATGTCAGAAATCCCTCAGAACCATAAATAAAAAGTTGATCAAAGGTATCTCAAACTAGAGAAGAACTCTTACTCATGTAGTTTGAGTCAGTTGCTTATGAACTATTTCTATCATAGTAGGGTGAGGGTTGAGGGGATATTCAAGAAATATAGGAGATGGGAAAGAAAACTTGATTTCTTGATTCTATGCAGTGTTTCAGTCCTCCCTGTAAGAGCAAATTTATAATGCTTACTGCTATGGTTTGGATAGTGGTGTCTCCCAAAAGCTCATATGTGAGACAATGCAAGAAAGTTTAGAGGTAAAATGATTGGGTTGTGAGAGGCTTAACCCAATCAGTATATTAATCTGCTGTTGGGGATTAACTAAGTGGTAACTATAGGCAGGTAGAATGTGGCTGGAGGAGGTGGGTCATTGGGGGCATGCCTTTGGAGGTTTATATTTTGTCCTTATTTTGTAGAGTGCTCTCTCTGCTTCCTGTTTATCATCCCAAGCTGCTTTCCTCTGCCACACCCTTCCACCAGGATGTTCTGCCTCACCTTGGGCACAGAGCAATGGAGTCAGCTATCTAAGGACTGAAACCTCTGAAACTGTGAACCCCAAATAAAATTTTCTTCCTCTAAAATTGTTCTTGTCAGATCTTTTGGTTGCACCATGAAAAAGCTGGCTAAAACACTTACCAAAAGCATGTCGTGATACTATTTGAAATATAGGTGATTTTTATATTTTAAAATCAGAGAAGCTGATAGAGGTATTCCACCCAGCCCTAGTCACACTGAAATAAACCTGAAAATGTCCAAATTATAAAGAAATGTTGTGGATGTTTTATTAAAAATGTATTCATGCTAAAGATTTCTTAAAGTATTTCTCTTGTGTGTTGAAAACACATTTCTATATTTGTGGTATCTTTTGATGAGATACAGGGAGTTAAACTTAATGTTTATGATACTACTGTACTTCTTCCCACAATTTTGATTCTAGAAATAAGAATCAGCAGGAGAAGTAGGACCACTCTTTGATAACTAAGAAGAAAAGCAATATTAATGTGAACATGTTAAGAGACTCAAAAGCTGGAAATTCAGTTTTGACTTTACCTGATTTCAGTATATACAAGGTTTCAAAAGAAAAAAAGTCATTCAGCATTATGTTGAAGGTTTTGTATTTCGACCTCTGTGTTTCTTCGTGAAAACATTTCCTTACTGTTGTCATCATTTTCATCATCATAGAGTGCCATATTCATTACATTTTCAGTACATTCTTCTAATGAAATTGTTGACAGGTATGAAAATACTTTTTCCATTAGAGGTTCCCTGAGAAGAGGCTTTGAAGAATTCTTTTCTTCGAGAGAATCATCAGAATACCAGTCTTCAGCTGCTTCAATACTTTGGCTGTAATAAGCTTCAGATGGTAATGTTGATAAGCTTAATGGAATGCTGCTGCCATTTGTTGCTGAGCTAGTCTCTGGGAGATCACTGATGATTTTCTTTGTTGCAAAGCGGAATTCATTTTTAGAGTGATCTTTAATTGCTGCAAAAAATATATTTATTGTGAATATTACATATTCATGAGTCAAATCTTAATTTATAAGGGCATTTTTTTTAAAAATTCAGACTATTTTTAGGGCTATAATGGACAGGATAATGCTCTTCAAGAACATTCTGAGTTACTTCATCATCTGTACAGTGTTTAATATGTAATTGGGAATTAGCAATATTTTCATGAAAATTAAGAGTAGAAAAGACTATACTAAATAAAACCAACCTGTTTTTACAGAAAAAGATTCTAAGTGGGACAGAAACCTCAGTTTTGGAAAGTTCCTTAAAGAGGACAGATTCTTAAAAATTTATAACTAAATATTGTCTTATTTTAAAAATATAAGCTTCCTTGAGCAAGCAGATTACCAAATGGAAAGGGCCTATGGGCTGGCCCTATATAAATAACAGTAATAATATTACTACAGAACTTTACAATTTACAAAGTGTTTTGATATAATTATTTTCTCAATAATTCTTCAAGGCAGTTATTAGCACCACTTCACTAAAGAAAAAGAGATTTAGAGAGATGATCCATCACAAGTCAGATACAAAATGGATTTCAATCTACATATTTCTTACTTTAAGTCTAATTCTTTTGCCATTGAATTATTTAGGTTGCACAATGGCTATTTCAAAGTGTTAGGTTTTATAAAATATCATATACTATCTTTTTTTAAAAAATATTTTTTTAGTTGTTGATGGACCTTTATTTTATTCATTTACTCATATGCGGTGCTGAGAATCAAACCCATTGCCTCACACGTGCTAGGCAAGTACTCTGTCACTGAGCCACAACCCTAACCCTCATATACTATCTTAAATGCTTTTTATATGTTTTGTATTTTCATATTAACTTTTGATACTTTACATATTAATTTTTAAAGTTGTTTTAAGTATACCTTATATTAACATTTCTAAAATTATGTAGGAGACAATGGTTTGAAATTCTAAGACATAACCTACAATATCTAGAGCTGTAAAAACTTGTTTTTTTTTAATATATATTTTTAATTGTAGTTGGACACAATACCTTTATTCCATTCATTTATTTTTATGTGGTGCTGAGGATCCAACCCAGGGCCCCATGTGTGCTAGATGAGCGCTCTACTTCTGAGCCACAATCTCAGACCAAAACTTGTGTTTTGAGGTTTTTTTCCCCTCTGTTTCTCTTCCTCTCTGATTTATTTTTATCCTCAAACATGAGTACATGGCTTTGACTATGATATCTTTGGGCTCCAGTAGTAGACACAACTTAAAATTTCATAGTTTAAGATCTGACATTACAATTTTCGTTTTTCTAAAATTTATGTGCCCATTCACATACTAATAAATTAGCATTTCTCTTCAATTTTCATAGTATTTAAAATACTTAACATTAAGCATAGCCTCTTGATTCTTAAAGTTGTAAATTGTTACATGTTAGGATTGTTTCTAAGAAACTATTGGAGAAAACATACCTTTTATACGTGCTGCTTCTTTTTTTCTTTGCTCCTCCTACATAAAAATTTATTTGTATTTTTAAAATGAAATCATTTTTATATAATTTCTATACTATATTTAATCTATACACTTATATAATAGTAATACATTTTGCACCTATGATTACAGGTTTATTACAAAGAATGCAAATCAGGAAGAGTAATAAATTTTAACATTTATTTGCATTTCTAACAAGCTCCCCAGAATAATGCTGATATTGCTGGTCTGGGAACAAGAGTATGGCCCTGGACTGATTGAAATTCTATCCAATTAAATGAATGAAAAAGCGGGCATTCTTATATACTGTAAATCAGTACAAATATTTTGGAGAGAAATTTAACAAATCTACTTGGAATATATTATGGCAAGTATATAATTTTGTTTTTGTGTCATTGTTCAGTCACCTGGATGTTCATTCAATGTGTGTAGCATTTTTTAAAAAACTTACAATTTAAAAATCCAAGATTAAGTAAATAGTTAAATGCATTATTATACCTAGATACAAAGGATGTTATTTCTTTCTCTCTCTTTTTTTTTTTTTAATACTTGTGGGTTGAACCCAGAGGTACATTACCACTGATCTACGTCCCAGTTCTTTTTTTTTTAAATATGTTTTTAGTTGTAGATAGACACAATACCTTTATTTATTTTTTTATGTGGTGCCAAGGATTGAACCCAGTGTCTCACACATGCTAGGCAAGTGCTCTACCACTGAGCCACAACCCTGGCCCAATCCCAGTTCTTTTTATTTTTTATTTTGAGACAGGATCTTGCTAAGACACTGACAGTCTTGCAAAGTTATTGGGGCTGGTCTCAAATTTGGGATCCTCCTGCATCAGCCTCCTGAGTCACTGGGTTCACAGGCATGTGCCATGGCACCCAGCTGGATATTCTTTCAACTATTAAAAATGAAGCTAATTATCAATAAGTAAGTAAGGACTAAAAGTAAAAAAAACACCATGGAAACATATCATAAATACAGAGGAACAACTTTGATTAGATTTGGGCATTAAAATACTGAGTAATGGATTATAATGTGCTGAGTACAATAGAAATTCATGAATTCATACTTAAATGGGAAAGACATAGCAAGGCATTATCTTATATATTCAAACTAAAATCATTAATTAGTGTCAAACATTGTAATTAAGGACAAATATTGCATGTCTCTTGATATGATAAACTGAATCTGATCAGAAGAAAAACCAAACTGAAGAATAGTTTATTATTCATACATTAACTGCTTTATTTTCTCAAAAATACCTATATCTTTTTAGACTTTTATTAAAATTTAGTATTTCTACTCCTGAAAGAGGTGATTAAAAGACAAACCACAGAGCAGTACAAAATATGTTCTTTCATGTATCTTATAAAAGACTTATAGCCAGAGTATGTAAAGAATTTTAAAAACTCAGTAAGAAATAATTCAATAAAAATGGGGAAAATTTGGGGCTGGGGTTGTACTTCAGTGGTTGAGCGCTTACCTTGCATGTGTGAGACACTGGGTTCGATCTTCAGCACCATGTAAAAATAAATAAATAAAGATATTTTGTTTTTTATAACTAAAAATATTTTTTTTAAAAATGGGGAAATTTTTGAATGAATATGACATACAGATTGCAAATATGTACATCAAAAGATGTTCAACATCAATATTCTTAGGAAAATACAATTAAAATCATAATGGAATACTACTACATAACTTAGAAAACAAAAACAAAAAATCCTGGCAATTTCAAGTTTCTAGAAATTTCAATTTCTAGAACTCTCTCTCTATATATGGCTAGTGAAGATGTATAATGGAGCAATCAATTTGGAATCAGTTTGTCAGTTTCTTATCAAAGTTAGAAAACATATATAATCCAGTAATCCCAGCAGTGAGTATGCTGACTGCCAGTGGACATGGGGTGGGAGAGCCCTGGGGCTCAGTGGGGTGACCTCTGGCTGAGGGAGCCACAGTGCTTCTGCCAGGAGGATGACAAGCAGGGACCCCAGATTGACAACACCCCTTTCTGTGTTAGAGGAACTTTGAGAAGGGTTTGCATGGCAGCCCAAGGATTAGGAAATCCTGATGCAAGTGTGTGGGCCGTGTCATGCTTTTGCATATACTAACAGTGCAGTCCTTATCTCCCTATCTGAATCCTAGTTCCTGGTACCTCTAGACCCCATGACATGGATAACTTAGCCCTATAGCCTGGGACCCTCCTGGCTTGTGCTTTCCCACTAGAGAGTGGAGAGGGCCCAAGCCAGAAGCTTAGCACCCAGCATCATGGCAGTTTGGCAGTTTTCTGGCAGGGCCTGCAAGATCATCCTGGTCGTCGTCTTCTTTTTTTGTTTTGCTCTAATTAGTTATACATGACATCAGAATGAAATGCCAATATCTTGAAATATGAAAGGCTTAGGATTTAAAGAGACTGAAGAGAGGGACAGATTAAATCAAATATAATTTGGACAGGATCCTTAACTAGAAGGAAACAATTCTATAAAGGACATTATGGAGATAATTGATAAAGTGGAATATAGAGTATAGATTATAAGAATATACTTAATCAATATAAATTTTTTAAATTAGAAAACTATAATAACTGAAGTGAATAACTCATAGATTGTACACTGAATTATTAAAGGCCAAAAGAGAGTAAAATGCAACTAATGTCAATTTTTCTCAAACTATTACAAAGTATCAAAAGGGAAGGAATACTTTTGTTCTGAGTCCAGCACTAACCAGATAACAAAACTAGACAAGAACAAAACAAAAATTAAACCCAGAGACCAATATTCCTGACAAACATATATGCACAATTTCTCAACACGCAGGGTACAGTGACACATGTGTCCCAGCAACTTGCAAGATTGAGGCAGGAGGATCATGAGTTCAAAGCCAGCCTCAGCAACTTAGCAAGACCCTGTCTCAAAAATAAATAAATAAATAAATAAATTGTTAAAAAAGGGATGAGGATGTTGCTCAGTAGGTAAGTCCCCTTGAGGTCAATCTGGTACCAAAAAAATTCTCAACAAAATACTAGCAAACTGAACCCAATGGTACATCAAAAAGATTATACACAGGATTGATCTCAGGGGTACAAGAATAGTTCAACATATGTAAACCAATAAATATATTGCATCAATAGAATGAAGGATAAAAAACACATAGTCAACTAAATAGATGCAGAAAAGGTATTAGATAAAATTCAGTATCCCTTCATGGTAAAAAAAAAATAGGTATAAGAGGAAGATACCTCAACACAATAAGGACTACATATAACAAACCCCACAGCTTACATCATACTGAATGGATGAAATATCATGAAAATTGTCCACTTCCAGTATTCTTATTCAATTAGTATTGTTTCTTTTAATATCATGAAAAAGACAAAATTGTCCACTTCCAGTATTCTTATTCAATTATTATTGTAAGTTTTAGCCAGAGAAGTAAGATAAGAGAAAGAAATAAAGGGTATTCCAATAGAAAAGAAGGTCAAATTATTCTATCTGTTTGCAAACAAAATGATTTTATTTTTTGTTTTTCATTTTATTTATTTATTTTTTATATGGTTCTGAGGATCAAACCCAGTGCTTCACACATGCTATGCAAACACTCCACCACTGAGCTCCAACCCCAGCCCCCCAAAATGATTTTATGTATGGAAAAACCTAAAGATTTAAAAGAGCTTATAAATGTAAAGATGTAAAGTCAGTACATGAAAATCAGCTTTTATATACATCAATAAAGAAATTTCTGAGAAAGAAATAAGCAATCCCATTCAAAATAGCTTCCTAAATATTTAAAAATATTTCTAATATTAAAATATTAAAAATATAAATTTTCCAAGGAAATGAAAGATCTTTACAATGAAAACTACAAAACAATGAAGAAAGAAATGGAAGAGAACACACACACATACAAATGGAAAGTCATCCCGTTATAAGACATTCCAATATTAATTGGAAGAATTAATATTGTTAAATGACCATACTATACAAAGTGAACTACAGAGTCAATGCAATTCTTATCAAAATACCAATGACATTTTTTACAGAAATAGGAAAAATGCTCCTAAAATTTTTATGGAACCACAAAGACACTGAATTGCTGAAGTAATCCTGAGCAAAAATAATAAAGCTGGAGGCATTACAACAGCTGACCTAAAACATACTACAAAATGATAGCAACAAGACAGCATGTCACTGGTGTAAAAGTAGACATGTAGACCAATGAATCAGAATGAAGACATGTGAGATCAATCCACATACTTCTGGCAATTGATTTTTTTTATACTGAAGATTGAACCCAAAGGTACTCTACCACTGATCTGCATTCTTCCACCTTTTTTCAGTTTTTTAAAAATTTATTGGTTCTTTTTAGTTTTACATGACAGCAGAATCCATTCTGATTAATTATTACACAAGCACCGAATATATCTTATTCTAGGTAGAATCAATGTATATGATAGTGGGATTCACTGTGGTATTTCATATGTATACTTGGGAAAGTTATGTCAGATTCATTCCATTGTCTTTACTCTCCTTATCCTCCCTTCCCCCTTCTCTCCATTCCCCATTGTCTAATCTACTACACTTCTATTCTTCCCCTCACATCCCCCCTTATTGTGGGTTAGCTTCCACGTATCAGAGAAAATATTCAGCCTTTTGCTTTTGGGAGCTGGCTTACTTCATTTAGCATGACAGTCTCCCAATCCATCCATTTGCTGGCAAATGTCTCAAAGTCATTCTTCTTTATGGCTGAGTAATATTCCAATGTGTGTGTGCGTGTGATATATATATATATATATATATATATGTCACATTTTCTTTAGCCATTCATCTGGTGAAGGGCACTTAGGTTGGTTCCATAGCTTAGCTATTGTGAATTGAGCTGCTATAAACATTGATGTGGCTGTGTCTCTGTAGTATGCTGACTTTAAGTCCTTTGGGTATGTACTAAAGAGTGCTACAACTAGGTCAATTGGTGGTCCCATTCCTAGTTTTTTGAGGAATCTCTATATTGCTCTCCA